GTTCGCAGACACTCGCAAGCATTCACCGCTCAGAGAGAAGAAATGCATTATTACCAGTTCAAAAGCTACCGAGCTGATTTCATGTTACAATATTCGCATTAAGCTGTTAAGACGTTTATATTAACTATTGAGAATATGTGCAGTACCCGTGTGAGTGTGCGCACGTGTCTCAAGTGTGTGTTTTATTGTACCAACTGATTTAAGGCAAGATAATATTTACACATTGTTTAAACAAAACTTTGTAGATGGGATTTGTCACTGGCCTATTCATTTTAATTAGGCATGGATGAAACAGCTGTTAAAACAATCATTTATTATTGTGTTATATAACATTTGTGTTTCAGATGAAGTAAAAGCAATGGCAACATGTGAAAATGAGGTTTCATATTATGCGTAAATACAAAGTTTCAAAATGATCAAAATGACTTGTTGGGTATAGTGGGCATCTTCCCCTAGTGGGGGATGTCTTCCCCAGGTCGTGGGGTAAGATGCCTATTTACAAGATTTTACATTTTGTTTTATTAAGTATGTGTGCTTCAGCACAATTCTTGGGCACATAATTTTTTTGATATTCAAATAATTTATATTTTCAAAGAAAATCGCCATTTTTAAGGGGGGCATCTTCCCCCACTTGCCCTTGTTATTCAAAATATGTTCCACATTTTCCATACTTTCCCTACTCTTAACTTGTCCACACTGTATTGTACTTTAATGTCTGACTTTTGACATCCTAAGACAACAAAATATGATGTATTTTCAGACAGAAATGAATACTTGCGCCAACTCAAACATGTACCAAAGAGAGGAAAACCTGCTAGAGTAGCTAGGAAATACATTAAAGTGCGCTGTCATCTCTGATTGCATGAGCATTTCTGGACCTTTGGTCCTTGGTTTGTTGACAGTAATTAGGAAGTTGTTTTTACTAGAATCTGCAGGAGAGGGTAGGCTCTGCCTAGCACAATCGCTGAAGTCAGCTTTCTTGCTCTTGTGTCAGCACCACGCAGATGACACATGATAATATATGTGTCACAGAAAAGCACGTATCAACACTTGTATCTTTTTCATATTTGCATGCAGGCGTTTGATGTGCATCAGCGTGTTTCTGAACAACTCCCAAACAACTACCGGGTTGCAGTCATTTTGAACCAATGCCTTCAGGACACCTGTGTTTACACTCTGACTAAGGCTCGGCGGTGTCAGATGGGAGCTCAGGTTTAGGAAGATAAGAGAGAGAGAGCATTGCAAACGCCAAGCGTGCACTAACGCAAATGGGCTTTGTTTCACTCACACAATATATCACGTAGCGCCGTTAATAAGCGCTACTACGGCGTACTGCACCTCAGAAATCTGGATGCCGGTGTGACATAAAAGATCACTGATGAGCTGCTATATCGGTCAGTGTTGAATTAACTAAGCTAACAGGAAAACATTTCGCAAGACAACGAAACATCTCATTTACTTGCCAAACTAGCTAACAGTCTGCTAAGCTCTCCTTGTTCGACACTGATTTAAGCGGACAGCACGCTGATGTCTTGAGCAAGCCTAAAAACACATTAGCTGAATGGGACACAAAAACAACAGCCAAAAAGGGTCGTGGCAGGTTTCACTGGGTTTAACTTAGCTGTTAGTAACATAACTGTACTCACCACTGTTATATCCTGTGTCGTACAAGTGCACCGCCACTACGTCTAAGCATGCACCTTCAACAACGTGAAAATATGAGAAAGAAAGGTGGTGGATATCTGCGGAGAACGATGCAGTTAGAGCCCGAATGAGTGCGCCGTGAGGCCAAGCTGTAGATTCTCACTCCTCAGTTGGAGGCTCGGTGGCGTTTCTGTCTCTTTCTCTCTGCTGCCAGCTGGAAGAGGAAAGCAAACAGAGAGGGCGGAGTCTCCTTTCTGTCTTTCAATAGGAGGCGGGGTCACTTCTCATCT